TAATTCCACAAAAAATAGGGTAAGATAGGTAGGTTTTTATATGCCCTTCAAAATTATTGACAGGACATATTTTAGTAAGGAGAGCATCTGCCAGTTCACACTTTGTTTTCCTGAAGACAACTTGATTAAAGAGCCCTGTACCACTGCCAAAAACTGTAACTGTTAATGATTTGGAAAGCGGTTTTTTCTGGCATCACTAAAGCTTTGCTGAAAAGAAGACCATACTTTGCAGGACTTTATGCTATAGATGAGACAACATTAACAAAATACAGCCAACAACAGTGTTCTGAGTGTAAACATTAAGCTATACCAGGACTCGGATTGTTGTGCTGTTTCTCTAACTAACTGAGCTACCAGGTGTAGGGTTTTGAAATATTAGTAAAGGGAACAATTCCTACACCAGGTCAAGAATTTTGGAAGGTTGTAAAGGATGTATGAAGTAAAATGCAGTACAGGGCTGTAAAAAATAAATTCAGAGCTTTTGTCCCGGGCAAGTAGACCTTAGAAATCCGCTTGACCAATAATATTTTCTACTTGCCCCATGTAAAATGCATTTACATACATGTACAGACAGTAAACGGATTTTTCAAAATATTGGAAATTTTCCATGAATTATTTTAGGTTTTTTTCTCTTCCTGTTTGCAATTATTATAATATAGATTAACTATTTAATAGAGTGATGGATGTATTTATGTTTCTTTTTATTTCTATTTAAAATTATTTACTTTTGAATTTCTTTAATTCCTGAAAGTCGGGTCCGGAGTTGTCATGTTATTAGTCTCGCCAATGCAACTTCCTGTTTATAGAACAGAAACGTTTTTTCAGGCCAAAATGATGTCCTTCTGGAGTTAACTAGTACATATAATCATTCAATAATTATAATTAAGCATTAGCTTCATTCCACTGACACCATAAGTCCCACTGTCATCAAGCATTATATACTGTCACCTTTATTTCTGCTTCACTGACTTCAGTAAGACTGTATTGAGCTAAACTATAATGTTTGTTTTTCTGGTATGATAAATTTTCAGCTTCTGACTTTGTTTTGTTAACTTTGTTAATTATAAATCTTAAAGTCAATTTTGCTAGATTTCTACTGAAAAATATTTTCTGGAACATTTTAAAACCTGCCAGGAATCCAATTGAAGTTAAAGGCCATCATTCATTGTAGGGCAAGACATTCTAAAGTATATAAAACCTGCCAGGAATCCAATTGAAGTTAAAGGCCATCATTCATTGTAGGGCAAGACATTCTAAAGTATAAAGGGAACCCTAAATGAACACATTTTACGTACATATGGCAGAATATAATCATAATCAATGTCAGTTGATAACAATGCTGTTTTTTTTCTTTAGTAAATTCTTGTCTAGGTTTCTAATGATTTGACAGTATATCTCTTCAGTATTGATATTAATTATTCAATGTCATTATAGATTCTAAGTCAGAATGAGTGAGTTTAGTTGAAAAAGTAATATATTTCCTGATTTTTCCTGGCAAGATGTTAGGTTTCATTTAAACCATAAATATTATTTTGTTCTAGTTCAACAGCAAAACTGACAGAATGTAAACAAACACTGGCTGTGGTTAGGTGTAAGGGAAGTAACACTTATAAGCAACACCACCTTGTTTAACTTGTATCAGTCAGTATTTTGAGTTGCTTCCCTTGTATCATAAGATTGATTGGAAGTTGTGTACTAGCAGAGCCAAAACAATTACATGTAGACTCACTTAATAGTAAATACATGTGAACTACTTCGCGTTTTTGTGGCAAAGAAATTGTTTGTGGAGCTACATTGTGTACATCCTCCTATGTAAATACCATAGGTACTCCCGTTCACAGTTAACTATGTATGTGTGATATAACTACCTGTTAACAGGTGTGTGATGAAGGTTAACATCTAGCTTGATGATGAAAAGCATTAGTCACGCTGACTACACTGTACATGACCACTTTAATGGACACTAATGGCTTAATAGCTACATTTTAGTAGGCTCTTGTCCAGTCATACAAGTTTCCATTTGAATGATAAGTGTATGTGTGTGCGTGTCAGACTTGATAGTAACAATAGACCTGTTTTGTTGCTGTTTGAGATCATGAAGGATTGATGTTTTAACTTCATTGTTATCTATAAAAATGTACTACCATAGTTAATTCCAATGTAAATAAAAATATAACTGTTTAAGATATTGTAAGATTTTCTTCCAACATCTTGACATGAACACTTCCTGTACTTATAAGTAGAAGTTTGTTGTTGGTGTTTCACTTTTAAAACCATGATACAAGAAAAAAAAATTTTTTTTTTTTTTTTTTTTTTAATTTCTTCAGCAATAGTTGGTATAGGGATTGCCAGGGTTGAAGGGCCCTTGGCCCGGCTCAATCCCCGAACAATAGTTGCCCTCAACATAGGAGTGTTTTCGTTCGCCATACATAATGTACCTTTCACTCAATTATTACTTCTTTTTTGTTTGTTACATTACATATAATACAACCATTCACACCTCTCTTTCTTTTTCCGTCATGTATATTTACTTTCATTATTTCCTACATCATCGTCATCATTCCACTTATCATCGCATCCATACACGATCGTGGTCGATTAGTAGTACTTTGTGTTATGAATGTTTCTTTTGCGTTTATTGGTGCTACGTAGATTATAAACAAAATGTACACACGGTGTGTTCCCACATGGCCAGCTATAGCTACCTGAAAAGTTCCCCGACGAGTTGCCTATTAAAGTATGTAAGTGTTACCTGTGTTGGTTTGTGTTCTTTTTGTATTATTTTGTCATATATTGGACGTCTGGAATCTATTGGTTGTACGTTTTTTTCGATGCTAGTAATGTTTGTTTAACGAGTAACTGTACATGACACATGAATCTTTCACATATTGACTAAAAACTATCCACAATACTGAAATTTCACTTTTTCATTTACTGTTGTATTACATATAAATTCAATGTTTGTGAAAATATGAACGTGTGCATATCTTCATAGTGATTAGCAAAAAGTTTGAGTTTAAAATTAGTCGCACTGTAATTGCACATGGTATTGCAGGCGACCTAAATTTAGAACTGTGTACCAGTCTGTCAGGTTCCTCTGTTCACTGCTGACTTCTACAACATTCAATCTAGGTGGATTAGGGGAAATCCTGTACAGCAGTTCTATTGCCTATTTATGATGAAGCAGTAAGTGCTTCAATCATCGCAGTATCAAAAGAACTTAAATTAATTCCATGCTGTCCGCTACTTTGGCACATCCCTGAGATTCTTGATGTTTTGGCGTGTTCATTCTGTGATCCACTTGAGTACAGTAAGAACCCAAGCATCAGCAGACTCTGGCCTCTGGCGCGGGCCCTATCTTTTTCCCTGAGCAACTGAAATGACTTGATTGCATACATAACCCATAAACCCTGAAATATGACACGTGAAAAGATAAGTGCAAAAACTTCATTCCCCACGAGGAACATGTGAAAGTAAGATACATTTTCCCACGCTTCTCCTGGAGTCTGATTCTGGTGCTCCTGCTGCTCTTTGTCTTTGAGAGCTGCTGTAGATCTAGGGAACCGCTGGCAGCCATGGCAAAGATTGGCTTTGTTTCCTTGTTACACTGCCCTTCCATTACTTAGCTTCATGTGGTACTCATTTGGAATATATAATTCAAAGCATTTCTTATAATTTCTTTGAAAATTTGGCGCAAGGTTGTGTCTGCATTCAAGTGATGCAATCGTTGTCACTTGCCCATGAAAGGATGCTGATAACAAACATTACTTATTAGTTTTCATGTGAAAGTAAGCACCATGGGTCATTTTGGTTACAATATATATCAGTTTAGACATTCCAATGGGAGACTTGCTAGCTATATATCTTTATATTAACAGATAGTACCAGTCCTGGCAATGATTGGTGTATTTCTATGTTGTAACAAAATATGATACCTATGATATACAGTTATCTATAAATGGAACGATGTTTACTTTTGGTTTTAACTCAAATGACACCTTTAATTTGACATTTCTTGCTATTCCTGAATATCCAACAGGTCTATCGTCATGATATTTGGCCTGTTCCTTCGGAATATTTGACCTTGACCTAGTTTCAAGGTCACAAGTGTTAAACATGTGTAAATATTTAAATAATTTCGCTAAATAATAATGAGGCTTATGGTTATGGTATTTGGCATGTAGCTTGCTGTTATGAAGGACTAGAAATTTTCTTTGAAGAAATTAGTAACTTTTAACAATTCTTATAGTTATATGGGGTCAAATGTGTTAAAATGTTTAACTCAATACTAAATGAGGTCTAGAGTAATAATATTTCACCTGTAGCGTGCTGATTTAGTTTGTTGGAGCAAACAACCTTTACCCACTTTCTGGGGTCGACTCAAGTGTATGAAAAACTTGAACAATGACTTCTAAAAGGTTTTAAAGGTTTAGAGAAGTAACACATTCGGCCCATAGCCTGCTCAGATAACACACTACCAAATTTGTTCTGATTAATAATGTGTAAAGTAATAATATTAAGCCTGTTGCTTGTTATCATGTTTGTTCAAATTAATTTGACTATGACACAATTTGGAGGTCTTTGATGTGAAATGTGTTTGTCAAAAGCATTGAATAACATATGACTGATACAGGCCAATAGGGCCTCTTGTTAAAGAAGTATACAGATGTTTTGGTACTGATGTATGTGGAGTATTGCAGACATACAACCTTACCTGTCGTAATAAAAACGTGTAAAAAGAGGTTAATAGTGAGTTGTTTTACAACAAAATGAGGTCTGTATTAGTTGTAGATGTATGTTGTGTTGTGTATGGTCTTTACCGCAGCACGACCAGTCGGAGTGAGTGTCTGAGTGCTGAGGCTGTCGCCCACTCTGAATCCCTAGTGGTTTCCCATCATTTGTTTCCATCTCTGTGTGGTATTGATCGACCACTTGGATGCAGATATTATAGAAGACTTGTTACAATATTGTTCTTCAACGTTTTGTAATTGCCTTTTCAGGTTCTGGTCGAGTTTGACGACAGACACTGGCAGCGCCGAGAGTGGGTCCGCATTCATGAAATTTTCCAGCTTTTTCTCGTAGAGCACACTGTTGTCTGGGCTGAGAGAGCTGACCCCGAAAATTCTGAACAGCCAATCAGCTGGCCAGGTTTGGTAAGTAGTCTTAAATTTTGATAAGAGAACTTCATTATGGCTACACCAGCTCACATCACAATAATTATCAAAAGAATTCCTGGTAATAAACACAAAATCATATGCAATCTATAAAGAATATTGTATTGTTAAACCTATTATCTGCTGTTGGAATATGCTCTTTTCATGTAAATAGTCTGTTGGCTTAAAACGACTGGTTGAGAGAGCTTAGTTTTTGGATCAATATAATTATATGGCGTTGGAGTGAGAACTGATTAATACTTGTTAGTGATTGCTGCATTATGGACTAGCTTACTTTGAAGTCTGTCAGAAACAGCTCTGGATTCCTGCCTGCTGAAAGATGGATGGTAGATGGCTAAGAGCTGTACAAATTAGAGACAACCACAAAAATCAATTGCTTGGCTGCAGATGTGCTTTGGGGTCACTGGCTTTGCTAGCTGTAGTTCTATTTCTGTCTGCCTTCAACAGTAGGTTGGCTGCTGTGTACTTGTTGCAAAATTTGGTCTCTTTGGTCTACTGCTCAGATTAGACACAAATTGCAAATCGATATGTTCAGATTTTATTACCGTGCTTGGGAAATTTAAGATGTTTTTTGGGCACTGCCTCTTGAGAAGGGGATTCTTGAGAGAAGTCAACAGAGACGAGATGATGACCAAAAGAATTACTCTCTGTATATAGCCCTTCCCAATGATTAAATTAGTTAAGTTAAATAAAAGGATTATAAAGCAGTTTCGATTCTGACCTTTAAAGTTCTTTGGAAGTTACTGAAATTAAATACGATCAAGACAGACAGATTGCTAAGACTAATCTTAAATGGTGACTTTTATTTTAGCAAAACATAGCCCCCATAGGGAATAAGCTAACACCTATTTGGCAAAGGACATGTGAAAGAGGGTATACACTAAGAAATATGAGCTTGGCAAGAGCAAGAAGGTCATGGTCAAAACAAGTTAGCCTATTATATGTTGACATGCAGACAGCATTCTATAAATTGTTAGAAAAACAGTTTTGGGCAGATGTTGGTGATAATTTTATTGGTGTGAAGAGGGCCATATATAGCAGCACTAAAGCAAGCTCAGCTCCAGCAGGGAACAACCATGGTCTGGTGTGGCCCAGGCTCACAACCCTGTCGCATGGCAACCATTGGAAATCAATATTTAATTACAATTTCAACTGATTTATTTCTTTCTACTTTTGCATTTCCTATCCAGCCTAAGGCAGCAGGGGATTTATGGTCATAGGACAGAGCTAAAGAGATAATATATATTGTCAACAATGTTAGAAGCCAGGGGGCTGAGTCGACCAGACATGTCATTATATCTTACATCTTTTAAATCCATCACACGCTCCAAGCTCTATCCCTGTATAACCATTACTGGAAGCCATCACCGATATGTAGTAACCAGCACACATGACCCAATCTATTAATGCAGATTCCCTCAGCAATAACGCAGCATAGCAAACATTTCTGAAACAGTCTCATCCATTGCTCCACTACTACAGATGCTGTTTGTGGTTTCACCCATTTGATTATCTGGAGACTAAGTTATTTTTATCAGAGGAATTCACCCTGTGAAATGATTACATTTCAGAAGATTATTATGCATTTGGTTTTGATTAGCTATAAAAACATGGGTTGGTGGCATCTATCTTAATTTGATGTCTTGCAAAACATTAATTTCTAGCAACATTAGAACCCAAGACACCTTTGTCTTCATTACCACATACAAATGATGACATCATGATCTTGTCATTGAGGTTTAATATCTCCCTGGGAAAAGGATTGAATGCAGTAAAAATCAATAGTAAGACTTGTATTCTAAGATAAAAAAAAACAAGATGAAACTTAAGATTGTGAAACCTGTCATGCTATTTCAATTCACTCAAGAAAAACAGCCACATTTAAGATTTTATGTCTATTTCTGCTGTAAAGTTCACTTGGAATACATTTCATTTTCCTGCTGGGTAACAGTTTTACCATGGTAACAGTGGTATGATTGTTTGTGTAACAATTTTACCATGGTAACTGTGGGATGATTGTATAACAGTTTTACCATGGTGACAGTGGTATGATTGTATAGCAGTTTTACCATGGTAACACTGGTATGATTGTATAACAGTTTTACCATTGTAACTGTGGTATGATTATTTTTGTAACATTTTTACCATGGTAACAGTTGTATGATTGATTGTGTTACAGTTTTCCCATGGTAACTGTGGTATGTTTGTATAACAGTTTTACCATTGTTACTGTGGTATGATTACTTTTGTAACAGTTTTACCATGGGAACAGTGGTATGATTGTTTTTGTAACAGTTTTACCATGGGAACAGTGGTATGATTGTATAACAGTTTTACCATGGAAACTGAGGTATGATTGTTTGTGTACCAGTTTTACCATGGTAACATTGGTATGATTGTATAACAGTTTTACCATGGAAACTGTGGTATGATTGTTTAACACATTTACCATGGTAACTGTGGTATGATTGCTTGTGCCACAGTTTTTCTATGGCCACACTGGAATGATTGTTTGTGTAACAATTTTACCATGGTAACTGTGGTATGATTGTATAACAGTTTTACCATGGTAACAGTGGTATGATTGATTGTGTTACAGTTTTACCATGGTAACAGTGGTATGATTGTTTGTGTAACAGTTTTACCATGGTAACTGTGGTATGATTGTATAACAGTTTTACCATGGTAACAGTGGTATGATTGTATAACAGTTTTACCATGGTAACTGTGGTATGATTGTTTGTGTAACAGTTTTACCATGGTAACACTGGTATGATTGTATAACAGTTTTACCATGGTAACTGTGGTATGATTACTTTTGTAACAGTTTTACCATGGTAACTGTGGTATGATTGTTTGTGAAACAGTTTTACCATGGTAACAGTGGTATGATTGATTGTGTTACAGTTTTACCATGGTAACAGTGGTATGATTGGATAACAGTTTTATCATGGTAACTGTGGTATGATTATTTTTGTAACATTTTTACCATGGTACCTGGTATGATTGTTTGTGTAACAATTTTACCATGGTAACAGTGGTATGATTGTTTGGGTAACAGTTTTACCATGGTAACTGTGGTATGATTGATTGTGTTAGAATTTTACCATGGTAACAGTGGTATGATTGTATAACAGTTTTATCATGGTAACTGTGGTATGATTATTTTTGTAACATTTTTACCATGGTACCTGGTATGATTGTTTGTGTAACAATTTTACCATGGTAACAGTGGTATGATTGTATAACAGTTTTATCATGGTAACTGTGGTATGATTATTTTTGTAACATTTTTACCATGGTACCTGGTATGATTGTTTGTGTAACAATTTTACCATGGTAACAGTGGTATGATTGTATAACAGTTTTATCATGGTAACTGTGGTATGATTATTTTTGTAACATTTTTACCATGGTACCTGGTATGATTGTTTGTGTAACAATTTTACCATGGTAACAGTGGTATGATTGTATAACAGTTTTACCATGGTAACACTGGTATGATTGTATAACAGTTTTACCATGGTAACACTGGTATGATTGTATAACAGTTTTACCATGGTAACAGTGGTATGATTGTGTAAGTTTTACCATGGTAACAGTGGTATGATTGTGTAAGTTTTACCATGGTAACAGTGGTATGATTGTATGACAGTTTTATCATGGTAACTGTGGTATGATTATTTTTGTAACATTTTTACCATGGTAACTGGTATGATTGTTTGTGTAACAATTTTACCATGGTAACTGTGGTATGATTGTTTGCGTAACAGTTTTACCATGGTAACAGTGGTATGATTGGATAACAGTTTTATCATGGTAACTGTGGTATGATTATTTTTGTAACATTTTTACCATGGTACCTGGTATGATTGTTTGTGTAACAATTTTACCATGGTAACTGTGGTATGATTGTTTGCGTAACAGTTTTACCATGGTAACAGTGGTATGATTGTCTGTGTAACAGTTTTACCATGGGAACTGTGGTATGATTATTTGTGTAACAGTTTTACTATGGTAACTGTGGTATGATTGTGTTACAATTTTACCATGGTAACTGTGGGGTATGATTGTGTAACAGTTTTACCATGGTAACTGTGGTATGATTGTTTGTGTAACAGTTTTACCATGGTAACAGTGGTATGATTGTCTGTGTAACAGTTTTACCATGGGAACTGTGGTATGATTATTTGTGTAACAGTTTTACCATGGTAACTGTGGTATGATTGTGTAACAGTTTTACCATGGTAACAGTGGTATGATTGTGTAAGTTTTACCATGGTAACTGTGGTATGATTGTGTAACAGATTTACCATGGTAACTGTGGTATGATTGTATAACAGTTTTACCATGTTAACAGTGGTATGATTGTGCTGTAGGTGGTGCTAAGACTGATCTGGTGCCTCCTGGTGACTGACACAACATGTTGTGGTACTGAATTAGCTTGATTTCATTTTTTTTTTTTAAACCTTGCAGTGTATCGTGGTTTCTTAGCCATTAACCAGCAGCCTACCACCCATAAAACATTACTGTTCTATGTACGTATAGGGTTCATTAACTCCTATAGGGAACATCTCAAAATGTTATTAAAAAAACGGACTTTTTTCAAATGTATAAATAATTTCAGATGTTATATTTTGTGTTTTCTCTCATTATACCCCAGGCAAGGATGACTTAATGAAAAATGTCAATACAGTATACCTAAAGTTACACCTTTTATAACGTGAATTACTCCACCAGTGAATTTGCAATGCTTGTAATAATGACAAATTTCGAGCATTCCATCAAAAGCTTTGTTTAAGCACACTTCTATCTCCTTGATTGTTGAATTACTACATCAGAGAGGTTCAGTTTCCTTAGAAAATGATAATATACTTGATAGAAGTACTTATTGACAAATCTTCTTCTTTGTGATCACTTAGATTGAAAGTGTAGGTTTAGACAGTAACGGATATTACTTCTACTACTATTAGTAGACC